GATAATAAAAGAATAAAAATGAAACAAAAAACTTCTAATTTCCATTTCTTATATATATATATATATATATATATATATATATATATATCCAAGTAGTGTTGGTACACTTGAAATATAATCCAATAACCAAACACACAATTCTTAAGAGTGCTCAATACAAAGTAGAGCTAATAATATTTATTCAAATTTATAACATATACATGTTATAAGATCACTACAAAAGTTGCAATTTTGTTTCAACACTTCTGGTGTCTTATCAAGTGATGACGTTGAATGGAAAACCATTGCCATTCAACACCATCATTTGATAAGACACTAGCAGTGTTGAAACAAAATTGCAACTTTTGTAGTGATCTTATAACATGTATATGTTATAAATTTGAATATATATTGTTTTTTTTTGGTGTGGCTCACTCCTGATAACCATTACATATGATGTCACTTTTCTTTTGGCTTACTTCCAATAACAATTACATATGATGTCACTGTAAACCATTTCAAACTTTCAGCTTTCCAAGGAATACCAGGGTACAGACAAAGGAATTCTACTTATCTCACAGATGCTACAAATGACTGAGATAATTGAATGTACTTAAAGAAAACAACAACAGATATGAACTTTGGAGAGTTTATCCACAATTTTGATCTGAGTACACAAGACATTATTTGAAAATTGAAAAAATTCAATAAAAAAAAAATGAAAGACAGACCAACCTTGATGGTCCTCTTTAATCAAACTTGCTTGGATGAATATTTGCTGCTTAAATATACATTATTCATATATATATATATATATATATATATATATATATATATAATTATCATCATGATTTTGTTAGCAAATTAAGATTTAGGTTGGCATCCATCAGTTGTTGAAAGGTCTACTTATAGTTAATGAGGCCTAAATGAGACAGGTAAGTTCTGAATTTTGAATTCAGCAATTACAGGTAACAGTTTTAAGAGTCTGCTTTTCTCACTCAGTTCTGTTTGTGTGGCAAGTAAGGGAGATAACTGAGGAGACTATGTCATGTCTCTTTCTTTGTAGGTTTGTTGTCCTCTAAGAGTAATCATGAGTGTGTTCTTTAAAGACTTCTTCTGTTTTGCTAACTCGTAGACTTTTTATTGAACACTGGTAGATCTTTGGTAGATGATAGTTTTCAAATACATAACTCTCTGTCTGAATAATGCTATGAATTTCTACAGAAGTTTTTAGCCCCCAAATGTCAAATTAAAATTAGATCTTTATTTTGTAATGTAAAAAAAATAAAAACAACAACAAAAAAAACAAAAAACAAAAACAAAACACACAAACAAAATAGTAACAACAAAAATGCTTCATGTAAAGAAGTAATTTTGGGTTTGGTTTATTTTATGGTATATCAAACTCAATGGGTTATCTAAAGCCAACAAGATTTTTATTGCTGGTAATAATTTTTCCAAACATGCATTGCTGATAATATATTTTCTTCAAAAATGTATCGCTGGTAATATTTTTTTCAAAAATGTACAGTTGGTAATATTGTATTGCTTGCAATAATTTTTTCTTAAAAAATTTACTGCTGGTAATAATTTTACAAAGTAAAAAACACTTTTATAGTGTTTTGACCTCAGTTTGTGGGTTAACTGGGACCCTGTGAGGTGCCACCACCCTGGGTCAGGGTGGGTCTGGGAACACCAGCAATTAAGAGGTGGTTCCACACTCCTCAAAACCTCCTGATCAGAGGCCTTGCTGTCAGATATAGTTTATTGTCTTACCCAGGACCAAAGTAATTTTTGGTAGTAAAAGAAAAAAAAAAAGACAAAGAATTAGAAAGACCTATTGGGGTGACAGAATGATTCCAGATTTGTACAAATTACCAAATTCCACAGCAGAATTGGTTGAAGTGGCAACCATGAAAGTCAAACTCTTGATGTGAGCCATTAAGTTCATGTCTTGTTGAAAGAAACTTCTTTACTTCCAATTTTGGTCTGTTTCAAATAGTGTAAATGTATACTGTGGTAAAAAGTAGCAATAAGATTACTAGTAAAACTAGTATGAAAATAGCAATTTAATCGCCACCAGAAAGCAGTGTACAGTCATGGAAATGGTGTATAGATATAAGAAGACACAAAAGGATGACGTGTCTACTACACGTGCATATGTCAATGTGATCTACAACTACCAGGTACGTTTCAAAGGGATCAACGGCATGTATCTGCCTGATCGAAGAGAAGTATGTGGACCTATATAAGTAAATCAAAGTATTTCTTACAAAAGCTTGAAAACAATAATTTGCAAACTTTTCAAAAGAAATGTTTCACATCAGAGATAATTCAGATTCAAACATTTGGGTCTTACAAAAATCTCTTTACAGCAATGTCTTTCTAAGGTGAGATTTTCACCTAGAATTTGAGAACTGGTTGGATGTTGAGCATGACACCTGGATGACAACCTACACAAAAAATGGAGGAAAAGTAACAGCACCCATTGAATGGTAAAAATTCTTTTGCTAAAAGTTTGTTTTTTTCATGTTAACTATTCTTGGGAATTTATTAACTAGATTTATTTTTTCCGGATTGCTTTTTGATACATATCTGTTTCTTTACAGAATATGCATCTAGAATTTATTGAAATTCTTTTGCCATAAAAAGCATCTGATGATATTGTGCAGATAATCTATTTTATTAGCATTGAAACTTTGCAGTAAGCATGATTAATTAGCTGTCAAGATGTTCATTATTAAAAATCCAAAAATTAATTAGTACAAAGAGTGCAAAAAAAAAAAAAAAAAAAAGAAAAAAAAAAAAGAAAAAATAGAGATTTTTTGGAGGGAGAGGAGGAAAAAAAAAATGGTCAGATTTTGAGAAGTAGGTTGATCCAAGAAATTTTCCATGCCAGCCCACAACATTATGTATAAGAAAAAGAACTTTTTAACCCTTGAGGTTTGCCCAGAAAGTATCCAGTTGTCGAAGAGAAGTGCATGGACCATATAGGATGGGGGACCCTGTCTGGGTAAAGCAACTAAATAGCCAGTGCACCACCAACTTCAAAAAAGGGCATGTCACTGATATCGTCAGTGAGCATTCCGTATTGGTCGATGGAATCCTGTGCCATGTAAGGTATCTCTGTCCTGCCTTTGAAATGACACCATTGGCAAGTGAAGGTGAGAATGAATTGTTTGAAAGTGAGTTGCTGATTGAGCCCATACCATGTGAGATCAATGATTCACCTGAGAACCTATCTTGACAGCTCAGACAACTCCTCTGAGAGCACCTCCGAGGAAGAAGTTCAGTCAATAACCCTTCAGAAGAGCATCCGCACTGTTATTTGTGTGATCATAAGACCAGTGGGAAGTATGGCAGGCGTAATGAACCAGAACTGGAGTTGAATGGCAGAAATTTTGAATATGACTTGCCTTATTCTCAATGAAAGAGAGTTCGTCTTTGTCTGGCATGGTAGACTTTAACCTGAGAGAAGGCCAGTGCATTGTTCTGTCAAGTGATCCTTCTTCTTTGTTCTCCCACAAGAAACTGGTTCATTAGTAACTGTGTATGGTATTAGCATAGGTGGATGGAATTGAGGAGGGACATCCGGCTGTGTTAGTGCTCCATTCTGACGTGCCCGTATGTCTAGTAAGTCTATCATCCAAGAGAGTGATTGGTGATTCCTCATTATAAGTAGAATGTCATGGAGATAAGAGGTGTGCCTGTCGGGGTACATTGTACTGTACATAGAGTTGTGACAGGAGAAATGAACACCGAAAAATACCAAGAAACTGGTCTAGAGTGAAGAAATGTCCAATCTGAAATTGTGTCCCAAACCAGAATTGCCAGTTTCTTTAGACCACAGTTGGGATAAAAAGCAACAATAATAAGAAGGAATAAAACTAGTAATAAAATAATAGTAATAATGAAGAGTGTATAGAGCCAGAGTGTTGGGATAAAAAACAACAATAATAAGATGTAATAAAACTAGTAATAAAATAATAGTAATAATGAAGAGTGTATCGAGCCAGAGTGTTGGGATAAAAAGCAACAATAAGAAGATGGAATAAAACTAGTAATAAAATAATAGTAATAATGAAGAGTGTATAGAGCCAGAGTGTTGGGATAAAAAGCAACAATAATAAGATGGAATAAAACTAGTAATAAAATAATAGTAATAATGAAGAGCGTATAGTGTCAGAGTGTTGGGATAAAAAGTAACAATAATAAGATGGAATAAAACTAGTAATAAAATAATAGTAATAATGAAGAGTGTATTGAGCCAATACAATAAAAAGAATTTTAAAAAATAATAGCAATAAAGAAGAGTGTATAGAAGCAATTATAGAAGCAATTTTCCTTAGAATATTGTTTAGTTTATAAAATGGCAAACGACTTTTACATGTTCCTTTACATGTTTTTTTTTTTTTTTAAATGCCATGTACCTTCATTATGTAGGTAATCACAATCTTCAGATTCCTTTTCTTTATTATCTATAAATTATGACACCTTTGGAAAAATAGTAAAATGATTTTCCTTGATTCTGAATTCAGAGTTTTCTTCTCTTAGCTGACACCCAAGGCTAGAGAGCACAGTCAACCTTGTTATTTAACAGATAGCCAGAGGGAGAAAAAGGCATTCATTATTCTTCCAAGAGCATTAGCACAAAATGAACACAACTTTTCATAATATGCTCCTAAATACACACAAGATAACTCAAGATGAAAGATTTTTTTTTTTTAAAATACATCTTTATTTGAAAAAAAAAAAAAAGTGCTTGATTGATATAAATTTTTCATTTTTGATAAAAAGCAGTTAGAGATCAAAATGATGTATTAAAAATACCGTTGATATACAAACAATTCACCAAAAAAAAAAAAAAAAAAAAAAAAAAAAAAATGATGAAATGGGTAGAAGAATAACTGTTTTATGAGTAAAAACTCCAAAATCAAAACATTTTTGTAGTGAAATTCATTTTTTTTTTCTTTTTCATGAGTTTTTAGACTTTTGCAGTGTGGGTAGTTTTATATGTCAGTTCAGTTTGTAACATGTTCCAAGACACCCTGGCGAATTAAATGCTCGCATTCAGAACGCAGCAAGAAATGCTGAAAAACAGAAAAGAAAGCAATTTTTTTTTTTACCAAAATACATTTAAAAAATATCTAGAAATATTGATTGATTTGTTTTTTTATGGTTTATCAACCCATTGTGGGTTATTTAAAGCTGGGACATTTTTGGATTGTCAGAATAACTTTTTCGAGGTAATAACGATTTGCAGATACAAGTCCTACTATTTAACCCATAGCACGAAGAAGAAGTGGATTCATACGTTTCCCAAAGGTATTTGCATGTAAATGAATGTAACAAATCTGACTAGAATTGGAACTGAGGCATTATCAATTGCAGCACACAAGCAGTCAGTCATCTAAGTGCGAACCAGGCTTGCTGTTGCTTAACTCCAGTGATCAGATGAAAACCAGTGTTTCAATGTGATATGTAAGCCATTAGAAATATTGAAACTATATCTTCTCAGGAACAACTCTCCATCCATCTATGAGGCACCTAAGATTAACACCATTATATTAAGTGTAGGGTGGTGGAACGGAGAAGAAACGATGGAGGTTTAAGAAATAAACAATTGTATTAATGTAAAATTAAAACAAATGGTAAATTGGTGTAAATGTCTCTCGTTGAAAGAGACAAATAGAATTGTAAAAGTCATCCACAGAGGTTTACAGCAGGAGAGGGAGGGTGAGTTGTGACTTACTGCAGTGATGGCCTTTGTAGAGTTGGCTTTGGAGATGGGAGCTCACATTCCAGTTAGGTGTTGTGAATCCCGGCTGTTGTGATGTCCAACTGCTGAAGATATCCCTTTGATGGGCTTTTATGTCCTCTTAGGCTCAGATCAGCTCCAACTTTTATTTTGTTTCTTTAGGTGGGAGTGGGTGGAAATTCTGGATTGTATTTTTCTTTGAGTGTGTAAGTATAATGGAAGCTATGTGTGGAGCTGATGCACAGTTGATGGAAATTTTAGTTCAGTCTTGGGTTTCAGAGCGTTCACATCTGGACAGTGATGGAAATTTGTCTAACATGAATCAGAAGATCTGGTCTTAGGAAGATTATAACAACACTTACCATAGTCAACACCTACATTCCAGTTTTTTCGCAAGCAATATGAAGAAAAAATATTGAATGTTACTGGAATTTTATTCATATTCCTGATTTAAGTCAAGTTCAAATTTCTTTTCATTTATTTATTACAAATGTGGGTCATAAATACCAGTAAATAACTTATAGAAAATTTATAAAAAATACATCTCACTTCAGAAAAAATATTCTCTGAATGAAAAGAAAATATGTATTAGCAACATTGTTTTTTTTTTTGTTTTAAATTTTTTACACTTCTGTTGTTGTGGGCATACTTATATGTCTTTACAAAACTTAACATTATTTATGAAACTAACATTGCCTGCTCTCATATATGTTTCAAGACAATTTGAAATGTCGTTTTTGTGTTATAAACTAAATAGCGCTTTGTGCTATTTTTTTCAGTAGAATTTATCTTGCTTCCTAGTTATATAAAAGATTCGTCAGATTTTATTGTTTTATAGTGGGTTATAAGTTATAGTGAAGTGTATGAGTGTTGAAACAGATTAGTTTGATTTGACCTTGTTAGTTAGATAGCCCGCCATAAGAGGGGTATAAAACAAGAAAATCAAATTGTAAAGTGAAACAACAAATTTATATACATATAAATCAATTTAGGTCTTTACAAATAAAATTAATGTATTTTGGTTGATACAAGGTCGTCAAAATGTTTGTAATAGTCCTTGCAAGAATGAGTTTATGTGTACGTAGACAGGAACGTATGTGTGGGTGGATGTATGTATGTATGAGCGTTATCGTAGGGTAGGAATGTCTTTGAAGTAATCGCTCAGTCTTAAAATGTTCCGTTTCTTTATCAAGTATAAAAGAGGTGAGGGAGAAAGGTAGAGATAATAATAATAACAGTCGCTTGACGTTTGTCAAGGGACATGTTAATATGCTTATCTCCTCTCTGGTGACAGGCGAACTTGCCCGTCTTTTATTTTATTTGTGGGTCTTGAAAAGGTTATTTGGGAATTCACTCCTGGGTATGACTGGACGATGAACAAACTTAGCGTTGGCTCATGAAAAGGTCCGTAAAAGAATTTGTTTCTGAGAATTGAAGATTATTTGAATTTTGTTCTTAAACGTTTCCTAGTTTTCTATTTGCTGAAAAACATTTTGCATCAAGGTGTGAAATTTCATGAGTTTTGTTTTGGATTCGCTTTTGCATGTGTGTTAAGCAAAGTTTGTAAATTTGAGTCTTTTTAATTTCTAACAAAATCAATGAGTCAGTGCTTAGCATTTGAATTTTAAATCTAGATCTTGTTTTGTTCACTACAGCTTCACCTGAGACAGTTTGTGTTGAGTCTTGCAGGTTGAAGCCTATGGATTTAGTCTTAGTGGCATTGACAGAGTCCAACATCATTGGCAGCATTTTCTAGATGATGCATAAGGACTGTGGCATTGGTTATGGTGTCTGCAGTGGTAGCTAGGTCATTTGAATAATCAATATCTGTCAATTTTTTTGCAGGATATCGACTTGAGAGTCTACAAAAAGTAAGGCAACCTGTAGATTTTTTGCCCTCAATAATCAACTGTACAGTCAAGATTTGTCCAACAGTTATGTATTTTTTTCAAGAGACTTTTTTTTTTTTTTTTTTTCAGAGCACCTTTTCTACTTCCGGCTGTATTCTGTTAAGAAGCATTGAGTTGTAAATTTTTGCTGCAATGAAAGTGAGTGTGATTCCTCTGATTTTTTACCAACCCTAGATTGCCTTTCTTTGAGAAAGGAAGTATGCAGCTTTCTGTCCATATTTCTATGACTTCTCCATTATATGTGGTGTTACAGAGTTGGAGTAGAATGTTATCAAGTCTCACTGCTTTCTTATTTTAGGTGTTTTTTTTAAAACCATTTCAAGTTCTGCATCTGTAAAGTTTCCAGGTTTCATGTTAAGACGATGTTCAATGATTCACTTGACATCAGTATCTAAAATGTCAGGTACATTTCTGAAGAGATTTTTGAAAATGGTCTTGTCATTTATTCAGTCTTTCAGTTTGATTATTAATCTTTAACTTGGATTTATTTGTCAATTTTCTTCCATTGATCTCATTGACTAAGAGCAGATTGCTTGTTGGCAGCAGCAGAGTTGATAAGTTGAATTTTTTCATGGATGTATTCAGCTTGTTGATCTTCATAAGAGTTTTTGAGTTAAGCAAGCATTTCATTGTAGTCTTGGATAGATTTAAGGGATGGATCTGAATTTCTTATGGCAGCTTTTTCTTTCATATTAGCCCTTTGTGATTCAATGCTATTTGATTCCCAAGGAATATGTTGTTGATGTTTATGGGTATGACATCTACTGCAGCCTTTTCATGAGAAATGACAAAAATTAGTATTAGATGGCTCCTCAGCATCTGCTTGTAGTGTTTCAAACTTATTCCTGACAGCAATGATGCACTCATTTTTTAGATGACTGTTTGTTGTTAGAAAAGACCAGTCATATGGTGAAAAGGTAAACTGCTTTTTCTTATTGGCTTCAAGGCTAAGTCAGACGGTGGAAGAGACAATCTGATGGTCTGAAGATACTCCCACAAATTGAATCCAGAATCCTCATAGCTAGCTTCAACAGCAACCCCATAATGACCATCAACTCCTGCTATTCACTAACTCTAGCGACAAAAGGTGACACATTTCTATCAATGCCTCTCTTCTTTTGTCAGACTAGTCGCAAACCATAGTCCTGATTATTGGTGGGGATATGAATGCTTGAGTCGGTGTCAATGACATACACAAATTTACACATCATGTGTCATGTGACAGAAATGGCCTCTTTCTTGAAGACTTTATAAAGGAAAATAATCTTGTATGCCTAACCACCAAATTTTAAAAAAAATTGCTAAGCCTTCAGCACTAACTTTTACATTATTTTGATTAAATAGTTTATGCATTTTCTCTGAAATAGTAAAGGTTTCTAATTAATTTTAAAAATATTCCTACTATGTTAGTTTTAAGAGATTTACCAGATGGTGGGTTCAAGCATATAATATTTCTACTCTTATTATTTTTGTTTCTGTTTATTAAATGTAAGATCGTCTATTTTCACTTTTTCTCATGGATTCTAGCTTTCTCAAAAATATCTTTATTTTTAGAGTTAGTTGACATTGACTATTGACTTATACAATTGTTTAGTCACAACCACAGAATGGTTAAAATCAGTGTTTATATACAGTGGCGTGTCCCCAGGTTTTCTGTATGGCTTATACTCACATGTTACTACATCTAATTAGTCCGCCTCTTCCAGATTTGATTCCACGTCTATTCTAAGTCTGTATTCTTTGTAGAACAAGTCTAGATTTTTATGGTGCTTATCATTAACCCTATCTTTTACAACCCTAAACCTGTCATCTCTATAGAGGCCTGAGGTCTTTTTATTGTAATTATTATATAACAACTTCTATGAGAAAAGATTCCTACTAACTCCAACACCAATTTGTGAGCATAATTTCCAATCCCTTTGCCAAACATTTTGTGCTTTTTTTGTCTATATTTCATCTTTGTGGAAGAGCAGAGATATTTGACAATAATGGGTTATAATATTTTTCTCTTCTTCACTTACATCTATAAACTCTTGAACCAAAGATATTGCCCTTTTTTAATAAACTTTCCAAGATAGAGGAGTAAAACTATGGAATATTGACATGCGAGAATTTCCTCTTTTGTTCTATATCAAACCAATTTCTTTGCTGCTTCAGTGTTTCTCCAACGTCTTGCTGAGTTTATTGCACATTCATTCCAAGATTATTTTATAAACCTGTTTTTTATAGTGTTGATGAGCCTACACTGTCTGTGACCCTTGAGTGTTATCATTACTTTTTTTTTTCATCTTCCTAATTCTGTTATCCACTTTTAATTTTGCTGCGGTTTTTACTGCTTCTTTGTTAATGCCTTTCTCCCAATCCATGGAGGCTTTCTTAAATTTATGTTATAGTCTAGATTAATAAATTTCTCATATCTCGTCTTCTCCAAAAAGTTTGAGAGTTATGTCCCTTAGTATACATATTCAATTCAAAAAAAAATTTTTTTGCATCTTCCTTCAAACGCTCCTAAAATTTACTTGTGTGTGCATACACATTTTTCCGTTTTAAAGCCAAAATTGTCAATTATTGTACTTGCATTATCTTAATGACATCCTCAATTTTTTCATCTAATTTTATTTTTAAATATATATATATATATATATATATATATATATCATCCAATTTTTTTCTGTAACTTCAATTTTATTTATATATATATATATATATATATATATATATATATATATATATGTGTGAACTTTAGATTGCTACTTAAGTTTCACACTACCATGATTGTCAAGTGACCAGAACATTTATTTTAAAATCAAGATATTAAATATTAAATACAACTACTTTCTCAATTGCTATTCTAGTTGATAATTTCTTATGGTACCACATAATTAGTTTAAAGTGAATATGTTATTATAAATAAGAGAAAAACTGACCTGGTTATTCCTTTTCAAGACAATGATATTACCATCCTGGGTTTCAAATTCTCCATGATCTTTCAAGCATCTCACCTTAAAAAATAGATTTTAAGATAAGTCAGTTACCATTTTTATTACATCCTTATATAAAATTATTTACAGTTTCACAGTCTGTTTTTAAAAAAGTGATATCATTTCCTAATTGAAGTCATTTGCATCTTAATTTTTTCAATTTTCCACAATAAATTTTGCAACATGACTGATTACAAAGGCATATGCATCATAAAATAAGTTGTGTTCTTTCATATAAAAACAAGTATGTTAATTCATGCACTATTAACTTTATAGTATTTACAAAAATAACTTTAAGATAGCTAAAACATAACTATCAGAGTTGTACAATAGAGATAGTAATTTCTTTAACTGAATAATGTGCCATATTTTTTTAATGTATAATGCAATCACCTATATAATGTGATTTGCTTCACAAGGCAAAAACACAAATCTATTCCGCATATATTGTGTCCACTTATTTATGTTAAGTAAAAAGAGGGTTGGTCTGAGAAGTGACCCATGGGGGATGCCTGCATTGATTGTTAGGACCCTGGAGAACTGGTTTTTCACAACTACCTTCAGGAATCTAACCATTACTGAAAAGACTGGGCGTCTGTAAGTGTCATGATGCCATAATTTTTCCAGGGATAGTATATTACATATGAATAAAGACAAAAGGAAAATTTATCTTAGTGACATGTTTCTTCCTCTAAGGGACTTTATCAAGGCAAATGTAAGGATTTTATTTTGTAACAATCATTTATAGAAAAGAGAAAAAATGTTATTGATTTCTCAAAATTTGCCTTGAATTGTAAAAAAAAAAAAAGGAGAAAAAAGCAAGAATTTTATGACTTTTTTTTTTTTTTTTACAAATTTATTATTTCAAACAGGAAAATGTAAATTTTTTTTTTATTTTTAAAGGTTCATGTTTACTCAGGCCATTATGTTATGGCAAAATATATTTTTAATATGTTTAAAAAGAAACATCTAGTAAAAGAATTATTTTTTTACCTTGAATACACATAAAAGTTTTTTTTAAGTTATAAAAGTTAGGGTGTAGGACACAGTTCGGTATTTGAGATAAATACTTATTAATTATCTCCCTTTGTTTGTGCAAAATAATAATAATAATAATAATAAAAAAAAAAAACAAGAAAATCTCCAACTGGAGAAAAAGGACAACATCAGAAGTACACAATTATCAATGACGTAAGCATAGTTTCAACATAGACATTTGTAAATATAAACAAGACAAAGATAACTCTTAAAAAATCAGGAATCAATTTCACATTATGAACAATGGTAAAAAAAAAAAAAAAAAAAAAAAAAAAAAAATATTTTTTGATTATTGGGTTTAGAAGAAATTTTAATGAATGTCAAAAATTTTTTTTCTTTTTTCTTTCCAAGTGAACCATTTGTCTTGGTTGACCAAAATATCTGATTGTAATAAAGAAATATCTATTCTTTTATGTCCATATGTAGGCATCTGGATCATAGAAATCTTTTATGACCAAAAAAGAAAAAAAGAATACAGCTCTTATATGAAATCCTTTAGCTGTCTCAAATCTCAAGTGTAGTTTGTTTTTTTTAAAAGAAATTCTACATGTTTTTCAGATGAGGTCAGTAAAAAAAAAATTCTAAATAGGTTCAGTTAAAAAATATGGTTTCAAAAAAAAAAAAAAAAAAAAATACCTCAATGTACAGAGATTTTGGAGGTTGCATATCCTGAGTAAGGTCAAGGCCACTGTCACCAATGCTTCGCATGTACACAGCCAACATTTTATTGTAACGATTGAACCAACTTATCTGGAAAAAAAAATATAAAAGGAAAAAAATCAAAAGCTTTGATAGTGAATCAAGTGAATTACATTTCAGTAAATATGAGAATGGGTCAATAAGTTTGTAGCCAGAGAGCATAATCATTAGCTGAATTTTGATCTGAGATTTTCACTGTATAATGTTCACTATGTGATTTATGGAGATACGTTAGATTAAAATTAGTAAAATTGTGTAAAATCAGTGTAGTGGTTATGTAAATCAGATACTGTATAAAAGGCTATACCTACGGGTGAGTTATCTTCTCTTGACGAGATTACATCTGACAGAAAGAATATCTATCATAACCAGTATAACTGGAATTCACCTAATTCTTTTTTGGCTACTGCCCCACATACCCTGCAACTGACATGATTAATGATTTCTTGGATAAAATGTCAGTCAGTCACCCCATTGGTATAATTATATTTTACATGATTCAATGTATTCAATTGTGCAACATGTTCATAGTACTATAACAGAGTTACGTCCCCTTCTCTATGATTTGCCATTTTGATAACTGTTTACATTTTAGTGCCACAACTGGTACTATGAGGCAGCTCCATCATATCTGGTGCCAGAAGTTTGATAAAGGAACATATGCAGACTTGTTACAGAATTCAGTGCTATGTTAGGATTTATGCCCAGTGAAGCAAAAAGTAAAAAAATCTTCCATAACAGAGAAAGAGCATAGTATTTGCATACTGGTTGCCAATGTTCGTTTATATGGTGGGAAATGAGTGTTATGTATTGTTCTGTTTTGTGAATGTTGTTAAACCTTTTCAGGTTGACTATATAGTTTTTTTGTTTATTAACCAGTTATTTATTGATACTGAAATATACAAAATTGTGGTTCATGGACAATCAAATGTTAAGTGGCTTTCCTGTTTTAATACTTTAGATCCCTTTTTTTTATTTGAATTTTTAATATTCTTCTAAAATAGTCAAAGGAACATGGTAAGTTTTTTTTCTTAGAATAAGGCTTTTTTCATACTAAAATTCACTCAGTACAAGAGCCACTAAAGATAGAAGATTAGTGTTAAAATGGTTATAATGAATAAGTGTGTGATGTAAATGAGAGAGGAAATGTAGTGAAAGAGATAATCAGCTACCTCGAAAAAGAGTTTGTATTTTGTGTGCGATCTGCCGAATAAAAATTACCAAAAGCTAGTTAGCAAAAAAAAAAAAAAAAAAAATTCTACTTTAAGGACAAGAATCTATGCTAATGTTCTTCCTTCCCCTGAATGGCGTGACCAATCAGAAAGATCTTTCGGTGAACAAAAGCCGTTGTTCTTTGTTTGTAAAGGCAGGAGATTTTCTGAGCTCAGAGAGACAAACATGCGTTTTTGCTGGTGAGAAGTGAAGGTTGGACGTGTGACCCCATTTTGTCATTTCTACGCTGCTTGTTGGACTGTTACAACAAGCTATCGTATGAACTGTGATTTGGCTACAATTTTTGCGGTCGAGAGACAGAAGAAATCTATTGCAGACGTTTGTTACTACTATAAGTTGACAGTCTTTTCTTTTCTTTACAACCACAGAGGATAAGCAGGATATATAACAATTTAACCTTGACTTGAAGAGGTTAAGATTGTAGTGTCCAAGAAGTCTGTCCCACAAAGTAACAGTTCTTGGGAAAAATAAAGAGGAAATGAAGTTGATTCAACTGTGAAAGTAGCGTGGTTTGTCCTATTGACAAATGTCTGTGTGACGAATAAAGAAAACAGCAACCAGCGAGTAAATTCAAGCTCTCCTAGCTGGTATTTCAACCTCGAGTCATTCCTTCTTGAGTTCTGTCTCAAAATCACACTAACAGACTGTTCTAGCCGCCAACCGTGAACATCACTCGAAGAACTCCCCGCACTGGGAAAAATTAGTTGCGTTTATAGGTGTCCATATACCCATAATCCCTTGCATCTTCATGTGATCCCATAATTCATTGCGTCCATGTCCCATAATGCATTGCACCTTTATTGCATAAAAATGCAATGCCAGTCCCCCCTCATTCTTTTACGTTATCTGGCCGAGGATGGATTACGGCAGAGCAGTAAGTGCTTTTTTCTCCCTCATTTCAACTGTAGTAGCTTTACATGCTAAGCAAATACGGGCTCTTTTTTGGCGGGGACAAGGCAAGTTGCAACCAGTTGTGCTTGTCCCAGGTTCTGTCTCATGTCTGCCACAGTCTGAACTGGTGGAACTAAAGAATGTAACTAATCTGTACATTTGCCATGGAAATAGTGATAGGCTTGCAACATTGTATATCTGTAGGAAAGAGGCTACAGAGTGGAGAATAAGTCTAACTTCACAAGACTGCATAAACTAATTTGAACTCTGTCAAGGTTGGAAAATGAAAATTGAACAGCTCCAGCCCAGATATGGCAACAATGCTCCATTTTTTTGTCTAATCTGACTATTGTAAAGATGAAATGTGGCAGAAGGTATCGAGTAAAACAAAAGGGTTTTTATAGTCAACACCTTGAACAAGACAAAAAATTTATGCTACTAATTAGATTTAGTCAAATAAAAGAACGTAATTTTTCAGAATGGCAAAAGCAATCTTACACAAGATAAAATAAACCCTGAGGAAGAAATGAAGTTGGAATATTTTACCAACTTTTCCAAATTTAATGGGGTTGTCACCTAGTAGCAAACAGTCCAGTGTGTCAGCTTGTCTGATGGCAAGTGAGACCCTGATGAAATGGGGACTCATATCAAATAAAAGTGCAATAAACAAACACAGACAACTGTTTTAGTAATAAAAAGTAATAAGAACTTTATAAAGTCATCTATACATTATCAGTTACTCAAGTCCAATGAGAGAAGACATTTTCAAAGTTAAAGATCATAAAGACAAGGTTAAGAAATTCCCTGACTGAGGAGAATTTGGAAAAATACATGTTATTATTTATTGAAAAGGAATTGTTATATGAATTGCTTGCAGAAGCAATTATTGGCAGATTCGCACAATCATCAAGTGAACACAAACAATTGCTTTTAATATAGTTGACTGCATGCAATGCTCTGTTGTGCTTTTGAATTTTCTGTTAATGGATAAATTGTGCAGTAAACTATTTAAAAAATATCAAACAACTACTTAAAATTTAAAAAATAAAAATAAAAAAATATCAAACAACTACTTAAAATTTAAAAAAAAATATAAAAAATATCAAACTACTTAAAATTAAAAAAAAATAAAAAAATATCAAACTACTTAAAATTTAAAAAAAAAAATCAAAAATATCAAACAACTACTTAACATTTAAAAAAAAAAATCAAAAATATCAAACAACTACTTAACATTTAAAAAAAAATCAAAAATATCAAACAACTACTTAAAATTTAAAAAAAAATCTCAAACAACTACTTAAAATTTAAAAAAAAATCAAACAACTACTTAAAAGTTTTAAAAAAAATAAAAAAATATCAAATTACTTAAAATTTAAAAAAAAATAAATATCAAACAACTACTTAAAATTAAAAAAAAATCAAACAACTACTTAAAATTTAAAAAAAATAAAAAATATCAAACTACTTAAAATTAAAAAAAAAGTTAAAAAAAATATCAAACAACTACTTAAAATTTTAAGAAAATATAAAAAAATATCAAACAACTATTTAAAATTTAAATAAAAAAATATCAAACAACTACTTAAAATTAAAAAAAAAAATTCAATTGTAACATTCACTATTTACATTTGGTATTTACTGCTAATATTATGTACAGTACATGTACACTGTAATTACTAAAAAATACACATTTTTTTTCCATAAGTATTTTAGTTATGAAAATTAAATGATAACATTGTAGTTGTGAGTAGGCCAAATTTGTTTAGACCCAGTCTGCCACTGTTGGCACATTAAGTTTACCATTTGATCAGATTCCTTTTTGGGAACATTTCCTTAGTGGAAGGAAAAAAAATTAACAATAATTTTAAGAGTTGGAAATAGATGAATTCAAAATGATCACATTTTTTTTTTCATATGTAATACCCAAGTTTTTCGACAAGGAATAAAAAAATTAGTTTCACAGAGGTTTTATCCTAGCTAATAATGAGGATTTCTTGAGAAATGAATTTGTTTGTTATATTTAAGTGTGTCTCCAAAAATTGACATTACTTTTTTTTTTAAATAACCATTGAATGAATCCATGTATATTACACTATCCAAAGCCTTAGAAAGTGTGTTGATTTTTTTAGCATAAAACTGACAAATGATGAGGTATAAATTATACTAACTTCTTGCTCACACATGTTATAGCGTATGTCCATGGGTAAAACACTACCAAATTCCCACCTCATTTCTTGGATAATTTGTAGACGTTTATATCTGCAAGAGAACAGAATATACAATAAGAATAATAGAAAACATCATTATGGGAGAAAAGAACATTTAACAGAAAAGAAAACCATTTATGTTTACATTTTTCATTGTTGTGGTGATGAAATCTGTTCGGGTTACCTCCCCTCTCTATTGTAACTCTTCTATACTTGTAACTATAAAAGGCATCTACACAGTGCTATGTTGAGCTCAATGAAGCTCTAACTCTGTTGTTGTTCATTGCATGTCTTCATATAAAATCTTGCAAAGAACAAAATAGATGATCAGAAAGATTGTTTTGTTTATAATGTTAAAACTAAAAGACATTGTAATCATTTTCCATATTAACTTTTATTGAACAATATATTTACTGTTTTAATCCACCAACTTCTGTTCCTTTTCACATCAATTCATAATTCCATTGAACTAGAAATTCTTATTTTTCAAAGTAAAGAATTACTATGTGCCTTTTGCAGTTTTTCAAGTAATTGAAATTTTGAAAGAGAATTCTATAAAGACTAAAATAAATGGTAATCCAATGATGTAACATCTGTTGAATGAAAATTTCCCAATCAGACTGTAATCATTTTTACCTGGTTTTCAAATAAATGGAGGTGGAAAGTGGGATCAGCCTGCTGAGTTAGTATTTTAGCTAAAGTGATTGCATTTACTTTGGTAGAAATACATTTGGGAGAGATATGAATCCACCTCTTCCACCCACCTCCCTGAGTGAAAAGTTACAAAATAGGGCGCACTAGGCTCTGTTGCCTTGGTTAACAACCCTAGGAGAAGGGTTACTTTGGATTTAAAACTGCAACTCCACAATGTAAAAAGCCTGGTGTGGTGTAGTTAGGCAGTGGCCCTATACATCCGAAGAGTAAGGAAACCTCATTTCTCTTGTTGAAAGAAATGTACTTGCCTCTCTCTCTCTCTCTGTTATTGTATGTGTGTGCATGTATGCTCAGTGACATAGGGTGGGTTTTGTGTGGCTGGGGTTATTTAAATTATTGCACCTCCTCCTTAGCCATGAGCTGTTATGAATTCTTTTGTACGTATTTTTGAAACTTAATTATTTTTTTTGCACCCCTAAGAATTTATCTCCTCTTTGACCCCACCCACAATACGTTACTGTATATGTGTGTGTACACTCAAACATACAAAAGACTGATGATACATTCCTTCATCTATCAAGTTACGCAATATCTCTCCCATTTTCTCATAAATTTCAGTTTTTAAAATCACTCATTCAGCAAACATTTTTTTCCACTATATTTTTCTCTTTTCTTTCAGGAAAACATTTTATACAAAGTTGCTTGAACTTTTGTTGGGCACCTTCTAAGCCAAAACAACTTGGAAATAATATTTTCATCAAATAAAATCAATTTGCAACAGAAAGGTAATAAATTTCATGAAAATTTTAATTTTAATGTTTCTTCATGATGAAAGGAATTTAAAACAAAAAAAAAAGCAACCTGTCATGAATATACTTAAAAAAATTATAAACCAAAAATATTTTGTTTAATCAATTCACTTCAAGCAAGGCAATAATGCCACTAAGCTGCAATGGAACCACAGGGCGTGAAAAAGAATGAGATGTCTTTAGAAAGAACTGAAAACCCAATCCTAAACAGGAAACAAGAGATAAACCTCTAGACCTGTTCAAAAGATTGGAGAGGAACGTGAACTGAATGATAGGCGAACCTATAGAAATAAATAAAAAAAAATTAAATAAAATTTCAGCATTGAGGTGGAGATGTTAGAAGTTAAAGTAGACTTTAGAAGGAAATGGAAACCCAATACTAAATAGGAAACAAGAGATAAACCTCAACTCCCATTCAAAATATTGGGGAGGATTGTGAACCAAATATACAGTGTGGCAGAAGTACCTCCCACATTGTAAATTGCAACCTGTGTGGTGCTATGAACTTAAGTAATTAGCAATGGTGTCTTCATCCTGCTAATGTCTTACCATTTTTTAGGCTATGTAGTGGGGCCGTGGCGGTTACCACTTGTTGAGGGTTCATGGCGTGGCTGTTATGTGGTTGATAGAAGTCAGACGTAGAAGAAACGCAAGTAAGGTTCAGATACTCCTGCCCTCCGAGCCCAACTACATAAAAAGGTTGGACTTTGATTAAGTCCAAAGAAGAAGGTAAAGAAAGCAAACAAAACACAAGACCGATAATATATGTATATACAAACATACATTAATAACAAGTTACAATACATGGAAACAGTACAAAGGACGAAGTGTGTGTGAATATTCTGTATGTGCGTGCGTGTGTGTGTGAATATTCTGTATGTGCGTGCGTGTGTGAATATTGTGCTTAGCGTGTTTCCACGCTATCCCTTGTTAGCGACTACATTTCGAGGTTGATAGCTGAAATCCTGAAAGAAAAAGAGAGTTTACCTCAAGGTGTCAGTGCACAGGCCTGAAGGAAAAAAAGATAGAGGCCAAGGGTTAGCGGCTATTTATAGCCAGGGAAGAGAGACCTCTGGTGAAAGGGTTAACGGACTGAAGGAGGAGTTAACTCCAACAGCTACCATCAGTTAACATGATGTCTTAAACAGGGGCAAACTGTGCATTTGCTGTTAAACCGTTTTTTAAGACTGGTGAATCTGTAATTGAAATACAGGGATTTTTGTAGCCATTTCATGTTGCATCAGAATAATGCTGTTCTGGATAGAAAATCGATACTGCTATGGGTTAAAAATTTCAGAGCCACAGGTTCAACATTTAAAAGAAAACGAACTGAAAGGCTTTGAAGGACCTGAACTTCGAGGTAAAGGAATCATTACCAATATAGGTAATCATTACCAACATTGTATGGTGAATAGATGTCACCATTTGGACGATGTCATTTTTAAAACCAAATCAATAAAAACCATAGCACTTTGTTTAAACAATAAAATAATTTTTTTAATAGCAATTATCTTGGTCTTTTTGTCAACTTTTAAGATGTGGGAGAGCATTTCTGCCACACCCTGTATTAGTGACTGTTGTAGCATACTTACAGGCAATAATGGGTATGTCCCCATTCACATAAATACAGTAGTAAATACTGTATGTAGGTCTGCAGTTGGAGATTCATTGTGGAATTCACTGGACTCAATTCTAGGAGTTGACTACTATTTCTACGGGCCACTTATGTGCGTTGTTCGTGTCCTAACCATTATTGTTCATTACCAACCTTCATGTGATGATTCTATTTAGTAACCTTCTCTAGGTTACAACAGTGACAAAAAGAATTATTCAATAATACTCACAAGTATGTAAGAAGACATCGTTTGTTTCTTTCAAGTGCTGCATGTCGTACCTGGACACCTGAAAATAAACCAGTCTCTCCTGCCACTGTGTCACTCCTGGAAAAAAAAGAATTATCTGGTGTTCTTCATAACATCACTTAAAAGTACAGAATGGTTATTTGATTTCAGAAACTGTTGCTCACAATATGGAAGCAGAAAATCATCCAACCATATTTCCCAAATATGCAAGATATTTTGTATTTACTTTAAAGCTTATTTTAAAGTGTTTTTATAAAATGTACTTAAATACCCTTTAATCAGATTTTTTAAATGACTTTTTCCAGTTCTAGTGTTTTTTGTCTTTTTGTTAAGATTTGAAAGAGTTCTCTTCAACTAAATTTTATTCTCAAAACTGACAATCAAGCAGTTAAACTCACTGAACCCATGTTTGCCGGGACGATTTATCCTGGAAATTCTGCACACACTTAAATTAGTATAAGTTTGTCTATAGTATTAGTTTAAGCAAAGTTGAAGGACTTAAGGGTTTGATGGTTTTGGTTGGTGTGAATTTAATCACATCTGGTCCCTGGTGTCATCTTTTCTTCCTGCAGGAATGTTCATGATTGTCTACTGTATTTTTATTGCAGGGATTTATTTTGTGGACCAGATGTGGTGCTCGGAGCCCATGCGCAGAAGACAACTTTTTTATTTTGTATTTTACTTTCTTTGTGCTCATGTCTAGCCGACATGTTTTGTAAATCAGAAAGAGCTCTAATTGCAGTGGAGTATAACATATAGTAAATAAATAGTCATCATTCTTTTTTGTACAAAGCTACCCCAAAATGGTAAGGGAAAAAATGTATCATAAGCTGGCGGTTGTGTGGGGTGAGTTGCATAAAATGTAGTACGTAAATACTACAGTATTGTTGTGTTAGTGTTGTGGCCTGTTTAGTGGCCAGAAAAGAAAGACACGGTAGACGAAGGTAGGTTGAACAAGTGTATTGAAATAACAGATATATATACAAAGCAAGACTGTTAGTAATAAGAAGATAGAAGTGTCTGTCTGAACGATCATATTACACTGCGTCTCGGCTGCTCACAACTCTACCCTAGGAAGTCTCGCAGTTAGTATTTATGAGAGGAGGAAGAGTTCATTTTACGGTACGATGGTTTACCACAACAATTAGTGTACATTCTCTTCATTTAATAAAATGTACAAATAAAGATAAAAGCAATTTGGAGAAAGGAGATAAAACATTGTTAATTCTTTATTTATGTAAGGTATTCATAGATTTTAAGCAACACACAGTGAGTGACGTTCAGCTGTTCATGTAGAGCAACAGACAGAAAGAATTTAAGCTACAGGAAGGAAGCTAAAGGAGCTTACCTGTACTGTTAAGGTTGGCCACAAGTACTGTAAGAATATAGGCCTGCCAGCTAGGCTATGGACACCAATAATGCATGAATTTTAACCCCTCCAGAAAAAAATTTATCTGTATATGGCGCAACCAGTCACTGAAAAGGCATGATTTTTAACTACTTAAAAATATTACCTGTGTATAGTGGGACCCCAGTTTTTTTGCATAAAAAAACTGATCATAAAAACTTGCATTATATTCATGGTATGTATGTATATATAAATACATATGATTTATAAATAGAGAATCAAGAATCTTCTGTATTTTCACTGTGGAATTTTTTAGCTAATAATAATAATAATAATGTCAACTTACACGTCTTTCTGGTTCTGTTCATATAATGACTTCATCTCATCCAAAACCTGTCGTATACAGTCCTCCTAAAAATAATTATAAAATCAAAGAATGTTTCTCAGCATAACATCACATTAACCTAATTGCAATAAAATGTCCCCTTAAAAACATTTGGATATCTTAGATTTGAGGTTGTGATATCTGATCAGAAACTGTGGTTTTTTAAAGACATTTTGCATCTGCCTGACACACATTTCTGAAGCAGCTGTGATAATTAATCTTGAATTTTTTTCTTTGCATAACTTTTATACAAGGCAGTAGTGTACAGAAAGGAGGGGCAGAGGGTGTGATTGCCCCAGGTATCCAATCAAAGAGTGAAATAAAAATTTAGTTTATATTTAATTTGAATAAAGTTCTCCATTTCTCAGTACTAAACCTTATAGGCCTCAATCTTAGAGACATACAAAAAAGGAGTTGGCCCCAAACATCACCAAACCTCTTCATGTCACTGATACAAGGTCATTATTTACATTCCGACTAATGTAACAAGGATTTTAGTCTGAATGTAAATAATAGTAACTCCTCAACCCAGAAATAATACAAGATTACTTTGATTTTGGGAATTCCTTATGGCAGCTCTTAGATAAAAATACAGAATAGAATTAAAAAAGAAAGAAAGAGAGACTGAACGGTTTAGTGGTACAAGTAAAGTATTGTGGTCCCTGTGATGTCACAGAACATGCAAAGAATTTAGCCATTCACAATGATCACTATTATCAGCCCTATGACCAGTTATAGGTCAT